ACTGAATTCAAAATGTGGCCATGAAAACTCTGTTGATTAAAACACAGCACACCGAGAATATTTCTCTGGCAGATACTCACGTTTACTATATTGATGAGTCGTACCTATTAATATATTGAGATACTAAGTCGCTCCGATGGGTGTCCGCGTTGAATAAGACTTACAGTAGGGAGTGATTTGAGTTCTCAAATGGAGTATAAAGGTGGTAAAAAACATATCAGTCTGTGTTTTGTATATATCATTTTAAAGACTCCAGAATTTATTTATTTTTAGTGTAAATGATGTAAAATCAAAAACATAAATGGCTGACCCTGGGACTGAGCTCCTCTCTTTGTAACTGGGTTCTGGACTTCCTGACCAACAGACCGCAGTCTGTGAGGATCCACAACGTCTCCTCATCTTCCATAGTCCTCAACACTGGCTAGCCTCAGGGCTGTGTGCCAAGCCCCCTCCTGTTCACGCTGCTTACATATGACTGCTCACCCAACCACCCAGGCTGTCATATTGTAAAGTTTGCAGACAATGATGAGACTGGCTACAGGAAGTAGGTGGAACACTTAAAGGATTGGTGCAGGAAAAACAACACTTCCAGCCTGATAAGGAAGTCTCACCAGAGGCTCTACTTCCTGAGGAAGTGGAAGCGTGTGGGAATGGAGAGCTCAGTCCTCATCTCATTTCACAGATGTGCGGTGGAGAGTGTTCTGTGCTCTGGCATCAATATGTGGCACGGAAACGGCACTGTGGCAGAGAGGAAAGCTCTACAGAGGGTGATGAAGGCTGCACAGAGAGTTGTCGGAGGCAGCCTCCCAACCGTCACAGACATATACACCTCCAGAGGCAGGAAGATGGCCACCTGTATCATGAGGACCCCACTCACCCAGCACACACACTCTTTGTCCGCTCCACTCTGGCAGGAGGCTGAGGAGCATTAAATGCAAAACCACCAGACTGAGAAACAGCTTCATTCCAGAAGCTGTGAGACTTTCTCGATACATAAATGGACAAGAACTGATATTGTAGTACCTTAACCACTACTGACACCGTCACTTTATCAGTGCTGGTCACCATGCCCTTTGCTGCTAAAGTATTTATTTACACCTACAGGGAGTGCAGAATTATTAGGCAAGTTATATTTTTGAGGAATAATTTTATTATTGAACAACAACCATGTTCTCAATGAACCCAAAAAACTCATTAATATCAAAGCTGAATGTTTTTGGAAGTAGTTTTTAGTTTGTTTTTAGTTTTAGCTATTTTAGGGGGATATCTGTGTGTGCAGGTGACTATTACTGTGCATAATTATTAGGCAACTTAACAAAAAACAAATATATACCCATTTCAATTATTTATTTTTACCAGTGAAACCAATATAACATCTCCACATTCACAAATATACATTTCTGACATTCAAAAACAAAACCAAAACAAATCAGCGACCAATATAGCCACCTTTCTTTGCAAGGACACTCAAAAGCCTGCCATCCATGGATTCTGTCAGTGTTTTGATCTGTTCACCATCAACATTGCGTGCAGCAGCAACCACAGCCTCCCAGACACTGTTCAGAGAGGTGTACTGTTTTCCCTCCTTGTAAATCTCACATTTGATGATGGACCACAGGTTCTCAATGGGGTTCAGATCAGGTGAACAAGGTGGCCATGTCATTAGTTTTTCTTCTTTTATACCCTTTCTTGCAGCCACGCTGTGGAGTACTTGGACGCGTGTGATGGAGCATTGTCCTGCATGAAAATCATGTTTTTCTTGAAGGATGCAGACTTCTTCCTGTACCACTGCTTGAAGAAGGTGTCTTCCAGAAACTGGCAGTAGGACTGGGAGTTGAGCTTGATTCCATCCTCAACCCGAAAAGGCCCCACAAGCTCATCTTTGATGATACCAGCCCAAACCAGTACTCCACCTCCACCTTGCTGGCATCTGAGTCGGACTGGAGCTCTCTGCCCTTTACCAATCCAGCCACGGGCCCATCCATCTGGCCCATCAAGACTCACTCTCATTTCATCAGTCCATAAAACCTTAGAAAAATCAGTCTTGAGATATTTCTTGGCCCGGTCTTGACGTTTCAGCTTGTGTGTCTTGTTCAGTGGTGGTCATCTTTCAGCCTTTCTTACCTTGGCCATGTCTCTGAGTATTGCACACCTTGTGCTTTTGGGCACTCCAGTGATGTTGCAGCTCTGAAATATGGCCAAACTGGTGGCAAGTGGCATCTTGGCAGCTGCACGCTTGACTTTTCTCAGTTCATGGGCAGTTATTTTGCGCCTTGGTTTTTCCACGCGCTTCTTGCGACCCTGTTGACTATTTTGAATGAAACGCTTGATTGTTCGATGATCACGCGTCAGAAGCTTTGCAATTTTGAGACTGCTGCATCCCTCTGCAAGATATCTCACTATGTTTGACTTCTCTGAACCTGTCAAGTCCTTCTTTTGATCCATTTTGCCAAAGGAAAGGACGTTGCCTAATAATTATGCACACCTGATATAGGGTGTTGATGTCAGTAGACCACACCCCTTCTCATTACAGAGATGCACATCATCTAATATGCTTAATTGGTAGTAGGCTTTCGAGCCTATACAGCTTGGAGTAAGACAACATGCATGAAGAGGATGATGTGGACAAAATACTCATTTGCCTAATAATTCTGCACTCCCTGTATATTTATACCTACACTCGATACCCATACTCCATACTGGTACTCAGGTTGCTGCACTCTACTTATAGTATTATTTCTTGTATTGTTTTATGACTTGTCATTCCTGTTTTTTAAAAAGCAAAAACAAAAAAACAAAACAAAAATAAAATTAAAAACCCCAACTATTCATTTATTACTTAAAATAAATAAATAAATAAATTCTGTTTCTTCATTATTTTGTTTCTTTTCACTCTGGGACCATGTGTACATAATTTCATTCCACCTCATGTTAACATGTGATGCGAAGGACAATAAAGCTCCTTGAAACACATGGATTAACTGATGATTCCTGAATGAATAATGATTATGGTTTTGACACATAATGTTTTAAACTGAAGTCCAAAGGTCACAGAGGTTATATTTATGCAACACACAGCATCATGCACAGTGAGACATAAGGGGAAAAAATCAGCTTTGATATCATAACAGACAGGTAGCAGGGTTTTTTTGTCAAGTTGCTACAACTGTGCATGATTTATGAGGAAGTAGTTGCTGTGAAGTTCTCCAAGGTCTGGCCTTGCTTGGCCTGAAAGTTCCAACAAATACCTCACATGTGTGGGAGGCCGGTCACAAGCTGATGAAAACCCTCCCAATTTGCCTCAGACATGCTCTCCTTTCCTCTTTCCCACACTTATATTCCTACCACACTGAGAAATATCTCATTTTCAATATAAACAAAAGCACAGGGGGACAAGTGGATAAACCTGAATGTATTAAGCACAGTTGTCAAGGTCATGTTCATCTTCTTAAAGATTGCACAAGAAAGAAATTCAACCTTCAGGTTAATTCCCCATTCTGGGTCATCATCTACAGCGTTAGCTTTACTGTTACTGTAGCAGAGAGAAAATGCTGTTTCAGAATGGTCTCAAAGTGCTTTGATGCGCTCTACTCTGCAGACACAGCTAAACACATTTATGCTTTTCTGCCCTCCAACGATGCTGCTAAAAAATTTAAATATAAATATAAAGGGAACATTTACATTGCACATCAGAACCAAAATCATAACCCATATGAAGTTTTTTAAACAGTGCATGTTCCCCTAACGTTTCCAACCTGTCATTTGGTGTAAAGTTTTAATATCTGGCGTTTGCACATTTTCCAGGAAAACACGGCGTCTTTTCACAAGTCCCTACACAGTTTAAACGATCTATGTCAACGTCTGTGGGTACACATAACATCACCAGTCAAAAACCTGCCTGCTCTACCTCAGATACAGAATGCGTACTTCCTGACATACTCATTAGGCGCAAACGCTGTTAATATAGAGACAAAACAAAATAACACTGCGGTGTTCTTTCATAATCAGCAGGGCAATAGAGCAAAGGGAGCAACAGCTTTGTTACAAGATCGGTACACTGTGGTTACAATGGCATCAGTTTCCTGTTCTGAGGCGACAGGCATACATCCAGTGAGAGCTTCTGCAGCGCATCGGTTTCAAATCTTCAGTGTGCCTTCAGAGATGCTCTTCTGCATACCTTATGCAAGTTACTGTTTGCATCCACTTCTGACCTTTATGTCCCAACAAGGAGTTTTCTCCCAGAGATCTGCCACCTTTCCCCCCCCCCTATTTTTGGACCCTTGACCTATAGATGGCTGTGAAGAAACCAACAATAGTTGTGTCCTTCCATTAATCTGGGTCCTCATCTGTTACCTGGCAACTTGTTAATTCATTATTTCAGTGTAAATAAAATGTTGCTCTTCTATATGAGATTAATATATAGATATATTTTTTATGCCTGCAGTTGTAACCATTCATAAGTTCTGTTCAATTTTATTTATATCCACCAAATCACAAGAGTTACCTCAAGGCTTATATTGTAAAGACCCTACAATAACACTGGGAAATTATCTCAAATGGCCCCCTATGAGCAATTGCTATGGCAAAAGCAGGAAGGACAACCTCCCTCTCAACAGGAGGAAACCTTTGGCAGACCCAGGTTCAGGAAGGGAGACTGGACAAAGACACACCGTGGAGAAGATAGGTTAATAACAACTAATGAGTAAATGCAGTGTTTTTAAAAAGTGAGTGAAGAAGAAACCTTGCAATCTGGGAGACATGCAGATAAGCAGGCTAGACCTAGTGCAGCATGACTGGGAGGATTCACAGTCATCTGATCCAGGACTCACTATAAACTCCATAAAAAATAAAAAAAAAGGCAAGTTTCAAGCTTAATATTAAAATAAAGAATTGTCTCTCTCCCTTCCCCTTAAAGTTTGTGCCCAATCATACACAGATCTCCCTTTAGTGTAAAGGCAAGCACACAGCAAAACACTTCATCTCAGACCCCATAAAAATACTTTTGTTTAAGAGGAAGTTTACCTCCCTTTTATTCATCAGACAAACAAAATCTATTATTAACTGGTCAAAAATCAAACATCAAGTTTCTTTTTGTTTTTTTAAATCAAAAATCAGCCAACAAAACAAAAACCCACAAATATATATAAAACTGCTATTATCAGATTAAAAACAAGCTACAAATAAATGAGATTTCGTCACACTCTTCATACTGAATATAAACAGTTTTAAACATAACTTTTTGCTACTTGCACAGAAAATCTGTGCGCTTTGCTCAAAATGAACCACAGGGCAAAAAAAACAACACACAAAACAAAGAGTTTTAACAGGCTAAATCTAGCTTCTTAAATGTGATCAGAACATATGCTGTACAGGAGGGCAAGTGAAAACACAGAAATACTGAGAAAAAGGCAGTGAATGTGTCAATTTGCACCTCAGGCTTTCCAAATGCTAACGATAGCTAGTGCCCAACCATAAGATAATGAATTCTTTTCTTTTTTTTTTTTTAAAGGGGGAAAAAAGAAAGGAATAAACATGCATGTTAAACTATCCATTTAAACATTACTTTGAAAGAATAAAACTCACTAAATATGGCATGTTTTGTTTTTTTTTGTTTTTTTTAATTCCCCCCCCCCTCCCAAAAAACAGTTTGAGAAAAATCAAATGCCAAAACGCACAACAGCAAATGTTTTTTTGTAGAAAAACCAAAAACCAGTCACTTATCTCCTCACTGATGGGTAGTAGTGCAACATATCCAAGCTCACCCATCCTGGAGTCACCGCAGATTGCCCAAATAACTGCAAACTTGAATGGCTGATGGCGAGCTGTGGATAAAAATTTCCCGGGTAGATTGCCGCTGCAGAGTATCCTTCACTTGGGTTTAAAGCTCCAGTATAAACTTGAGGGTTTTCTCCTGTTGTGTAACCTAATACGGCCTGAGGCGGTGCGTACCCTGGATGTGAACTTGCGACATAAGGCATTTGGCTGTGTGACTCGTATCCGGTTGAAGGCACCAAAAAGTCAGTGGGGTTGTCTCCAGAAATTGTAGGGAAACTGCCCTGATGGCTGCTGTTCACCTCGGTGTGGGGCTGTTCTGTATAATGTCCCATAAACCTTTGCGCCAGCCTCTCGGTTACAATGGTACTGATGGGCAACTGGTCAACTCCAGAGCTGTCAGCCTCTGAGTCAGCATGTGGCTGTGGGATCTGTCCTGGGTTATGGCTGGTGTCTGTATAGCAAACAGGGCTGAAATGTTCAAAGACTCTTTGATCAGCAATAGTTGGTGGATGCTGTGGGTCTTTGGGCTCAACAGTGGCGGTAGTAGCCCTTGCACCAGATGCAGCTTCAACCTTAAAAGGATTTCCAGTCATCAAATGGTCCAGGGAAGATGAAGTGTCTTCTGAGCTTCCACTCAGACTGAAGCGTTGGTTCTCACTGCCTGCATTAGCAGGGTTTCCTGTCAGAGGCATGCTTTTAAATGAGCCAGAGGAAGTTGGAGTTTTTGTCACTGTATGCAAATTCAACCTATTTTCCACACTTTCAGATGAACCGGCAGCACAGGAGTCCACAGTATCAACAGTAACAGGAGCTTTCATTCTACATTCTCTCACCACAGCAATCAGGTGTCTAACCAATCTCCAGTCTACATCATTTATGCATGGCAAAGTATCAGCTGGCCTTTCCCTGGATGGGAGACACTGATCTCTGGGAGGCACTGACAGCGTTTGGCTGATAGTAGGATTAGCAGCCGAAGAGCATGCTGGTTCTGAGTGCGCCTCTTCCTGTTTCACATGCAAGCAGAGGGCAGGCTGCTGATAGTCAGAGACTGGTGGCGTGAGCTTTGGTTGCACAGGAGGCTTATAGCAGGTCTCTTCAGGGCTGAGACATGAGCCAGGATGGGGCAACAGTGAGGCAACAGGATCATCCTTTGAGCTGGAGCCGCTCACATTGAGAGGACTCTGGAGTCCTCTTTCTTTGAACCCATCCAAGTCACCAACCGTTTGAGTTGCCTCTAACTGAGGCTCCTGTGTGAGTTGAGCTGAAAAAAAGAAAAAAAGAAAAAAAAAGGACAGAATAGCACAACACAATTAGAGCCTGCAGAAATAAAAAAAAAAAAAAAAAAAAAATTTCTTTCCACACTCTTTGAATAGTCTCCATCTCCAAACCCATGGAGAAGTTTCTTAATTTCAAAAACGTATATTACACATTAGTATAATGTAGATGCCACGCTGAATTTGGCTGATTTCATCATACACTCGCAAACACACGGTTAAACTGTCACTGTTCATGCAGTTCACAGCACAGGTGAGGTTGGTAAACCAATCAGATTACAGCACTAATATACTAATACTAAATATATACATATACGGTATGTCTGCCAGTGGCGTAGAACGCAAAATGGAAACATGCAGAGCCAGGTTAGCAAGCTTCACCTCACTTTTATTTTGAGCCTCCTCTCCCCTCCTGTCCAAAGCAATCTAACAGTGTGAAGCTTAATGCAAGAGAAAGCAAAATGCAGAGTTAGCTCACCTGACTCAAACCATTACACTTCAAATTACTGCAATAGGTGAAGCACAAAAACAACATTGCAGGCTTTGTTGTCAATAGTTGCTTGTATTGCTCTAACTCAAATTAAAACTAGTTACTCAATAGAGGATAAGTTGTTGTCCCATCAACCACTTTAAATAGCACAAAAATCTAATTTATATTGGCACGTTCAAATTTAAAACTCAGAACAGAAATATACAAGAAATTCATACATGGTTCTGCGTTGAGCTCAAGTCAAATTTTATGTAGTTGGGAACAATATTATTATTTACAACTACCATTGAATTTGTAAGCTTGTTCACATACAGAGAAATACCAGTAAATATTAGCTAATATTGAGGGCAGTTTCATTTTATGGAGAGACAGCATATCAACCAAAAAAACAATAAAAACACCTTAAATAAAAGTTACATATTGATGTGTGTGCTATTGAGTGAAACAGGCATTTGATCACCACACAAACAAATGACTTAGTAGTAGAAACCCTTGTTGAATAACAGTGGTAAGACGTTTCTTGTAGTTGGCCCCCAGGTCAGAAATCTCCAGAGTGATTTTGGACCACCACTCTTTACAGAAACTAAAACAATAAAGTTGAAATAAAGCTTTTGAGTTGCCAAGCAGGAGCCAAGAAACAAAACTTCACTTCACCTCCCTTTTATTTTATTATTAGTATTTTTTATTTTTTATAAAATAGGATTGAGATCTGAGGTCTAGGCAGTACACAGGCCTGACTATTGGCCCCTCAACGCAGTGAGGTCATCCTGTACCCAGGAACTGGCCCAAAACAATCTTTTCTACCTCCAGTTTGACAATGAGGATGGTGTTCATAGATTTCTCTTCCTCCAAACACAGCAGGTCGAGTTACCAAAGAGTGCAATTTTGATTTCCATCTGTCCACAGCACTTTCTTCCAAGTCTTCTCTGATGTTCACTGCCAAACTTAAGATGGGCCTGCACATGCATCTTCCTGAGCAAGGAGATCTTTGTCAGTCTATCACAGAATAGCGTGCTACACTGTGATGTTCTTGGCAACAACCTCCTAGTGTTTACTTTTGGGCCGATCCACCACCTCTCTCATGATCATCCTCACCCCACAAGGCAAGATCTTGAATGGAGCTCCAGACTGAGGGTGACTGAAGGTCATTTTATATTTCTTCAAATACTTATTTCACTCAATGACGTGCAAATCAACTGCAACTTTTATGTCATATAATTTTTTGGAAAGTTTGGTTGACATTCAGTCTCTCACCATCAATAAAAAACTTACATAAAAATTAGAGAAGTAAAAAACTCAGCTGGGCATCAAATAATTAATTCCCCCTGAGCCTATGGAAGAAGTTCAGTTTTGGAAAAGCGACCCCTCTCACCATTGTCACTTCTCTGGTATCGCTCAGCTCTATGAGCTGATTGCATTTCTGTGGAAAGAGACTCATTTGGAACTGGCCGCTCATCAGACCGCTGACCTGTGCAACAGAAAGCAGAGGTCACACTTCATACTCCTCCTCCAGTTAACATAAAGAAGATGAAACATCGATTTAGCCGTTTGGACTCACTGTTGTGCTGTGGTACCAAGACCCTGCGTTCATCGTTGTCCTGCGCCAGGCCCAGTTTACTTGATTTGTCCGTATGCATATTTTGCAAAATTTTTATAGCTGAAGAACAAACACAGTTACTGTGTATTCACTTCACCTAAACTGTGTGGACAGTTATAACTTGATCTTATTGTTACCTTCACTGAATGGAGCCGTCTGAACACGTTCATGCAACTCCTTTCTCAGCGTAGTAACCTGTGTACAAAAAGGGGGAAAATATTATTACTATTGTCACTGATGTCAAAGCAGATGAATCGAGCCAATCTTTATAGTATATGGTCTTAACAGTCTACCTTTGGACTTTCATCTTGCTCCCGCTCTGAGAGCTTCCAGGAAACTTTCTTTAAGAGTTCCAGTTTCTTGTCTAAAGGCAGGTCTTCATCCCAGAACTTGTGGAGAAACTGAGGGTATACTTTCCGCTGAAAGACATATTTTAAAATTGTAGGAACATATACTGATCACTTATTATTCAAACATTTGAAAAACCATTATTAGGACAATACACACCATGTATTCGAGCTGGTGCTCAGAGCTGACCATGTGCTGACAGATGTCGCGGTGAGAGAGCGCCTTCTCGCAGCACGTGCATAAGAAAAGGGTTTCCAAAGCAATCCCGCGGCACTCCCACACATAACCCTTACCTGATGGAGAAACACCAGGGGGCACAAAGAGTGAGATAAAGTAATGAGAGTGGAAAGGAGTTTCAGTGTAGGATGGAGACACCTACCAACAATTGGTTCAGCATCCAGTCCCTTTGTATTCAAGAAGATGGACAAATTGCTGTCAGAAGTAGAGCGCTGATTTCTTCCCTCTGTGGTAGCACAGACACAATACAGAGTTTTTACTTTCAATCATAAAATGAAACAACACCATCAACACCACCGTCACCAACCTGTTGGAGTTCTTAAGAATGCCTGTGATGCACTGTGCTCTTCTGATACTGGATTGCCTCTAGACACGTGGTCCATCTTCTGCCTTGGTCTCAGCTGGTTCTGCCCTTCTGGATGAGCTGAAGCAGCTACAGGGAGTGGCTCTGAGCAGCTGAATTTGACAGTCAAAGGTTTTTGTGCGCATGCTGGCAATGTCCAGTTGTCCTGAAATTCTTCACTCTTCGGCTGCTTTGGTCTGTGGTCTCTAGCGCCGCCACGAAGCTCTGCCAAAACAAAGTTTCTACATTATGACTAATGCTAAAATGAGTTAAAGCAAGAAGAGAACCTATAAAATGTTACAGAAGCAGAATATGTAAAAATGCTCTATATTTACCAGGACACTGCATTTCAGACATGACTTCAGTGCAAGTCTGAATCTCTACATCTTCCTCTAAATCCTCAATTTCTAAATTATGTAGAAGAGATCTATTACTTCAACTTTAAACATTTATTTTATGTGTGATTCTATATAAATTTTTTTTAAAAAAGCCAGTGACAAGCATGGATGCATTACCTGCAGTTTCCTCGTCTTCAAGCTCGTCCAGAATCATGTCATCAGATTGTATGTCTTCACCTTCCGAGCTGTGTCCGATTGGCTTCGATGCAGCCAGGTCTGCCTCCACTTTTGAGTTCGAGCTCATTTCTGAGTTAACAGAAACAAATAGAAAAATCATATTCAAAACCTTTCTTAAAGATATATTCATTTGCATTTGGGGTCTCACCTTCTTTCTGGATCAACAGTGCCTGGTGCTGGTTTTTGTTCTCCACCGCTGGACATTCGTAAGTAGAAAGTTCTGACATTTTATTTATCCCTAAGAGACAATAAATGCATTTTTGAAATCAGCTGCTGGTATCCATAAACTAGGACCTGTTTGGAGCTGTCTTATTTACCATCATCTGAGCTTGAAACGTCGCATGGACTGGCAGAGGCAGAATCAGCTGGGGAGGTTGATGAGAGCCGCAAGCTTCTCTGATTCATTGACTTCACATATTTGACAGCTGAGAATCAAAAGATGGACAGGAAAAGAGTTCAAATCTGTGACTTCTTTGTCTATAAACTACACATACAGTACACTCATCAGATACATGGCTAATTAGTTACTGTACATCTTTCTGAGGCGGCTAAGATCTTTTAATGTCTGTTGTACAATGTGTCTTTTGTGGCCATCCTCTATGCGTTTACATGCTAGGACAGCAGGTTGACAGTTGCAGATGCCGACAGATTCAATAAACTGATCAGCAAAGGCAGTAACGTTTTGGGGAGTGAGCTGGACTCGAGGTGATGTCGGGGACCGGTTGTTGTCCAAGATAAGGACAATGCTTGACACCACCTTCCACTCACTCTATAACATGCTGGCCAGTCACAAGAACACATCTGGTGAGAGACTGATTACCCAACTGCACCACTGCATGACACAGCAAGTTACTCCTGCCTGTGGCCATCTCTCTGTACAACTCCATGTAAAGTGAAAGTACACACTACAATATCTATTTAGTAACTTTGTAATATAATGTATCATTTACCATTGTTATTGTGTTGAAGCAACTGGACACAGTTTCCCCAGGGATTAATAAAGTAGTTTGATTCTGATTGCCAACTGTGAATTCTTCATGGCACAAACTCAACTCAATTCAGATTCTCTGAATGTTTGCTTAGTCATTCTGACCAAGCAGTAAAGTCTCCCCCTCCCCCCCAGACAAGGTCTGGGCTGTGTGCCACGTTTACAGTCTCAAGCATTAAGAGACTGGGTTCTCCATTTTAGGAAAAAATGAATCAATCTTTCTTTACCTTCATCTTCTGGAAGATGAGCCAGCTTTTCATACATGTCCTTCTTCACTTTCAGAATCTAGCAGGATAAATATAAACAACTGTAATTGAAAGCTTTACCTTATGAGCTGTCACTTTAATGTTGTACTCATGTGTATTCGTTTTGCCACACATAATGTTAAAAATGCAAAAAATCTGTTAATTGTGATTTAAATTGTCTGTTGGTAGACCTGTGGTTTGCGAGGTCCGAGACTCCTCTCAGCCTCGGTCAAGGGGATCGCTATCTCATTCAGTTTTCTCTCCATCTCTGATGGCTTTGCGGTCCAATCAGGATACTTCGTTTTCTAATCAGGGAAAAAAAAGAAAACAAACAAGATCCAATTAACATCTATATTACTGAACTGCTTCACAAGCTACACTGCATAGATGCTTAAAAGCACACACCACATATTTTTTCCAGTGGTCTAAGCTGATCAGGTGATAGTCACTGGAACTGGTTAGCTTCACTGAACACAGCTTACAGTAGACTTGCTGCTTCTCCTCACACGATACCACAATCAGCTCATTTAAGCCTAAAAAGTAACAAAAACACAGGCTTCTGGTTAAAAATGAAATAGTGGAAAGAAATTCACTTTTTACAAACAGAAATAATAACTTTAATACTTGCCTACTTTAGGAAGGCCTTCACTTGGCTTTGTCTTATTACTCATGGAGGTTTGGGGTGGCTCTGTGGGTGGCTTCTTGTGTTCAGGCCTGACAGACGTGCCCGTGGCCTGATGAGGAGCGCCAGGTTTGTTACTTTTATGACAATGTGATGCATTTGGCCCCACTGAATTCTTCACATGTACGGTCTTTGCAGAAGTCTCCACACTCTCAGGTCTAACTGAGGTTCTGGGCTTTTTAGCCACAGGTGCCATTTGAGGGGTGGCTTTTGTTTTTAACTGATGAGATGGAAACTTTTCACTTCTGGAGGAAGGTGCAGTTTTGCAAGTAGCCTCTCGCACCACTGTGGATTCAGTCTGAGGAGGTATTCTGTTTGAAGAAGTAGCCGTCACTCTCGATGGAGCTCCGGTTCTGCACACTGCTGCAGATTCTGCAGTTGACTTTGTGTTTGGAGTAATACTGGCTTTGGAGGCGGTTTTTGTGCCACTTGCATTTGACACACACAGACTTACGTTTTCTCCACTTCTGGGAGTAACTGAACAAGTGACAGATTTGTTAGCTGGCTTGGGGGCTTTGTTACTCTTTGTGCCCTCTTCAGTTGATTGAGGGAGGACTTGAGTTATTCCAGTGCCTTTAAATAACGCAGACTCCTCTTGGTCGGCATCAGTCACCATGTTCACCACCTTCACAATGAAACAATGGCATTTAGTAGCAGTAGTTAAGTTTTTTTAAGCAGACACAAGCATGCAGTGTTCAGGTTGTGGATTTCGACCACGCACATCAATGCAGTAAGGTTTGGTACCAATGTTATCTGTTTGAATCTGTGCAAGTATCTCTGTTTAAAAAGTCAGTCTCTGATCCTATGTGTACCAGCTAGCAGGCAAACAGGGTTTGGATGGAGCCGGGAAGGAGAGCTCGGTCAGCTCTAACATGAATACATTTTCCTTCATCTCTTTAGTTTGTGCCTTTACTTCAGAATTTTCCATTATTGCAAATCTCACATGAATATCACGCATAAACTCTATTCATAATACACTTCACTTACCTTCACGCTGCCCTTTGTATTGTCATCATGTTGGTCGACTGAAGTGTCCACAGGTTTTACGCAGGTAGGAGCTGAGGATGAAGGGAATGTAGACCCAATGTCCTGCTGAGTTTGAAATGCCTTGACTGTCTCTATGGCTGTAATGACAGTGGGATAAAATGAGGAAATTCTGCACTTTGGTAGTTCTGTCTCTCCAAATTAGCTTCACTAAGGTGAAGTAACAACAAAACAACCCAAACACAGAAAGCAAGGTGCATCCTTACCCGACTGAAAGCTTTGTTTTGAGACCTTACTGTAAACTTCTTCATTTACATTAACATCCTGCAGTCAAAACAGAAATAAAATTAGTACCCCAAATGAAGATTTTAATTTTGGATATTAGTGTGAAAATATAATATATTTAAGGTTCAGACCAAACTTGAGCTTGTATATTTTTTTATGCTAATCGCAAGTAGCTTTTATTTTGGTTCCCCTTTCTCCAGTTCAAGTGAACACAATATTTTTAGCCTGTCAAACATATTCTTCCTTCCTCTTGAAGAGCTAAGCCACAATTAAAGTTAGAGAAACTTCAATTATTGCTCCCAACCATATGATGTCAGAAATTAGGCAGCATATCAGCTTCTTAGATCCTTCTGTTAAATCGAGTCTTAGAAACTTCGATGTCAAATATGACACCGAGTGCAATGCTCAAATATAACATATGAGCATTGCACTGAGATAAAAAAAGAAGCCCAACTTAAAACTGAACATGTACTCACCACCAGTGGCACCTTGTGATGGTCAAATCCAGTCAGATGGCTGACGATGTCCTTCTCTGAGACCTTCAAAGAGCAGGACTCGCAGAGGTAGACCGGCTCATGCTGAGGACAGCAGCATTTAAGCAGAGCGATAAAACCTGTGGGACACATTTGTTTACCACTAACACTGTGGAATTAAAAGAAAATATCTCATTGCTAACTTGGCTTGCATTAGTGCCACCTTATTAAAATTTTTATCAAGTGCGTAGTTGTAGTTATTTTATACACTTTGCAAATGCGCTCAGTCCTTTTGAAGGTCATAAGCTTTGTCTGGCGTGAATGTCCAGGTGATCTATTGTGTAAGGTGATCAGAGCACAAAAAGGCCAAGGCAAGCAAGCTTACAGACACAACTAACTGTAGATGAAGTTCTAGGTCAGAGGTGAGAGATACACTTTGCTTGTAACTGCATAGCAACAGTTGATGCAAGAGGTGTTAAAATAAGCATGAAATGAACAAGTCAACAGGAACCATCTGGAGGGGGAGACTTTTGAAACAAACAGCATGTATAGTAAAAATGTTGCTGATAATGGGAACTTGTCTAACTGTCACTGATGCATGTTATATTCTTTGTTGACGCAAGAAGGGGCCGAACCCTGACATATTAAAACCATTTTGAAGAAGTGTGCTTTTTAGCAAAGATCTATGCTGATGTTACAGTATACATCTTCCCACACGTGTGCTTAATAAAATCATCGTTTGATTGAACTCATCGGAGCCAGTGTTGGTTTGTTCTTATTCCCAATATCAAAGAATCGGGACAATACCATCCATGTTTTCCCCTTCTTAGAATATTTTTAGATAAAAATACTTAGCTCTCCTTATAATCAAAAAACAAGTAAAGGCATAATTATTAAAATAAATAAAAATCTATTACACATTATTGAGAGCTAAGAGGATGTCAAGAGATTTTCTACATTATACAATATAGCCAAATCTCTATAATACAATATAATCAAGTGTGCCTTATATTTTGTGTGTTCATATATTTTCACATAACCAAGCTTATTGTTAAAGAGAACATAATGCATTCCTTACTTCAGTGTGTGATGTCAGATAAGCATGATATACTTCTGCATTGTTATTTTCAGTGTATGTGTGCAAGGTCAGATAAGCTGAGATAATGCCTGACCTCTCCCCTTTCTGTTAAAAGGGGAAGTACTATGTAACTTACTTTCACTATAAATAAAGCAACCGAGCCTGCACTCGGTGTGTGTGTGTCTTCTCAGAGTCATTCACCCGTGCGCACGTTTCTAATACTCTGAGTCGGTCTGCAGTGTCTTATTTCTCTTACTTGTGTTTGAACAAATGTCTACCCCTGACAGAGGAGAAAACCAACTCTCTTGACATATCAAAACAAAAACAGTAAGATGGTCAGTAAAACCTTCCAAACCTTTGTCAATTGCCGCTTTGCAGGCTTCATCTTCATTGTTCTCCTTCTTTATGCTAATATCAGACATTTTTGGGGCTTTGTCACACGAGTCTTCTCTGGAGGTCCGACGCTGTCTTTTAGGGCCCATTTCTCTCCCCACACACTCAGTAGGACACGAGTCCTCTTGCGATGTTTCAGACACACTGTGCTGTCTCTTTCTTTCCATTTCTTTGTAATTCTTCAGCTGTGCTGGGACATCTTTGCTACTTCTGCCATCTTCTATCCCAGAGTCTGCACCATTATCTTTGTTGGCATTGTGGCAGCTTTGCTTCGCCCCAGCTGATCCTTTTATTTTAGCCTCTTCTGGCTCCTGCTTTATCGCCCGACACACCTCACCTGGACTGTTCATCACTTCTGAAGCCGCTTCACTTTTCAACCCCGAGTCATTTTCACTTTGTGTCGGTGTGTCACGCTCTTTTTTGATTTCTTCTACACCGACTGTGTTGGTGCTGCCATTTTTCTGACAGACACCTCTCACGCGTTGCTCGTCTTTTACAGTTATCCTCGGAACTGAGACAAAAAAAAAAGGATGTACAAGTCAGTCTGAGTACAGTTGTCATATTAGGCATCCATTCTGTAAACAAAAAACAGCAAGTCAGCTTTCCAAATAAAGACAATGCAATGCCACCCTGGGAGCCACGCATGCACATTTTCTGCTTGGACAATACTGAACATCTATATGATTCTTAAAACATTTTAGTGTACTTACCCAGTTTTCTATGAAGTTTTATTTGGGGTTTAAGCTTTTTGTTCTCAGTTTTCCACTTTACACGTTCCAAGATTTTTGTTGCTGGAAAAGAACACATGAAAAGTGTCCAACCCAATGTATCTGCAGATGCCACTGAAAAAAAACATTAACTGCAACATAAATACTCACCTATAACGTAGGAGTATGGCTCCGTAATGGGACGCTGCAAATATATTACCTTCGAGAGAAGACCGATTCAAAAGCATAAGTGTGGAAAGAGCAAAAGTTTAAATTAAATCAACCATCTTTATCAACCTAGTAGAGAATACCTGTATGTGAGATTTATTGTGAATTGTTGCTGCCTGTTTTGCCAAGTCCAGTAATGTCTCTGCATCAGCGCTGGAATCCAGTGAGCCTGGGTGGAAACGGTCCTACGCACAGAGATGAACACAAGCTTTATTGACATGTCTTCAGTTCAGTTCTCTGGGATTTTTCTTATTTGTACTGGACCAGCAGTGGAAAATGATACATTTCACTTTCATACTCAGCTTTGTGAAAATATTACTGCATTGTTAATATCATCATTTCCATTAATAATATAATCTGGAGTTTATATTGCATTCAGGGGTTGAACAGTGTGTGTCTTTCAGAAAGGCTAAAAGTCACAGGCTGACAGGAAACAGGCTTGCAGAGTTTGCAGAAGCAGGAAGTTATTTTGAGCAGCAGGCTAAGACGAGGCTTTAACAATGTAACAGATAGCTTTAAGATGGCCTTAAGATGTTTATGATGATGTTAATTTTGCATTTCAGATGCAGTTATAACTATTGTGTACACAATGCATATCTGTGCTTATTTGAGTTGATGTTCAGGTTCTTTAAAGGTCTTAAGCTTCACTGACGTGACTGTTCAGGTGATACATGCTGAGGGAAAACTAGAACATAGAAGGAATTGCAATACATGCTTACAAAACACTTATATAGCAGGTCATTTTATATTAAGGTTTTAAGTAGAGGTTCTTGGTTAAAACATTTATTTAGTAGAAGACATACATATAGTCTCAGTGAGCCTCTGGTCTGGTGAAAGGTCAGAAGTGCAACAGGTGAATTGAGAAAGAGCATTTGAGGACGAGACACAGACAGTTAGTAGGTGAAGAGGTGACACAAAGAGCATGTGAGGTCAACACACACACACACACACACACACACACACACGAGTTAGATTTATTTAGAGGAGAGATTAGTCATGTCTCGGTAAGAAAGAGGAACAATTCACTTTAAGACAAGAACGGAAAGTACCAGCCATGAAAATAGAAGATGATCTTCTGGGTTAAAAGTCATTGTGGTGTTGATCTGATCTATGTATAAAATGTATCTGTGACGCATGAAGGGGCGTCAGTAAATCAAACCCTGATGCTATAAAAAAATCTGTGTATGCTTTGAGGAAGTCGAAGACTACTTGCTGTCTGTGTACAGAGTTGTCTTCCCACACGTGTGTATTCATTAAAAATCATTGTTTGACCAAGACCTTCTGGACCAAGGGTGGTTTGTACTCTCCCTCCTCAATTTTGAACCTTAACACTTCCTTTTTCCTGCAGTTGCTCATATGACTCCAAGCTGCAAGCTTTTACATAGTCTTCAGCTAACATTTGCTAATAAAAGTTTCTAAACTTTGTTACAAAGACTGATTCTTTAACTGAAAGACTCAGCATTAGTCCTTTTTAGTTTTACTAAACAGTTACAGAAGGAGGAAGAAAAAAAAAAGCCCATTATAAACCATTTTATTTAAACATTTTGAAATAGTCTCAGATTTGATTTGAGAACAGAAATGCAGGAGGAAGAATACACTGCTTCTGGTACCTCCTGTCATCATTTTCTTCTAATTTACTGCAAATCATGAAAGTAAAAATAATTCATACTGGAAAAGTGAGAGTGCACTATAAAAAATGTATTTATCTCACAACACATAGGTGTAAGACGAATAGTGTGTAAGTGTATGTACCAATATCGTACCAAGAGTTCTCCACATACAGCTCTAACTGAAGTGAGAGATTGAGACCACATGCACCCTCAAGTTTCTCTGATAGCAGGCAGATGGGATAATTGGCTTGGGATACACAGTGCCAAGGGGCCTCGTAGGAGATAGAGCTGGAACCATATAGGGAGAGCTGGAAAGTACTAGAATTTCTGAATTCCTGGCAGGGTAATGCAGGGCAGACACTGTGCGATTTTTTTCAGTCGTGCGATTCAGCTCCTGCTCAAACTGTACGATTGACTCGCAGGGGTTAGAAGTTCGTAGGTCACGATGCAGGGTCTCACACTATACGGCCCGATGCTCTGATGCGACCTGAGTGCTCAAACTGTGCATCCATAAACTGAAGGTTATAACAGAAATTCTGTCGCTTGCTCTCTCTGTCTTTCACTCACACACCACCACCATCAACTTTGCTAAATTGCTAATTTAAAACATTGATCAGGCAGCTGTGATTGAGCAGCATTGTAAATCCAACTATTTTCACGGTTGTTGTGGCCGTGATAATTTTTTGAGGCCACATCGAAAGGGCTCGGATGAGCTTTCCAAAGTTCTAAAAGTGCCTCCATCGGTTGTGTCCAGATCACACGCTGCACTGCCGTGCTACTCCGTCTTTTTCACCGACTTTTATATGTTTGCGCGTGAGCAGTGTGAGAAGCTGCAGTGACACCCTCACTACGTGACCTATGAACTTCTAACCCCTGCGAGTCAATCGTACAGTTTGAGCAGGAGCTCACGACGGTTGATGAACGGGAGCTGGTCGTGAGGTGTTAATCGCTTCTCGTTACCCCACGTATACTACAGGATGCACGATGAAGGCCAAAATCGGGCCGATCACCAAAACGGTCGCACAACTGAAAAATCGGCTCAAAATGGGCCAAAAATCGCACAGTGTCTGCCCAGCATTAGGGAGTCACTGATTCAGCGACCTTGGTAGAGCTTCAATAATTTGGAGGTGCTTTTTGTCTAGCCTTTTCAGTTTAGTGAACTTGTATTGAAAAAAGAAAAAAAAAAATCCCCTTTGCCATCCTGTGGGATTTTTTGCACCCTTTAAAATAAATTAGGGATAATTTTGACAAGTGTAGTTTAAACAAATTATCAGTTCTCTACCTCAAAGTTTGGGGTTTCCAAATCTCAAACTCTGCTGAGATTGACCATCAAAACATTTTTGGGATGACTTTAAAATAGTCCACATTTTAAAGCCATTTAAAACAAAAGCCCAAAAAAAGTGGGGCGGGTGGCGACCACCACCTGTTCTGAAGATTGACTTAGTAATGACATTTTATCAGCGGAAACAATGTTTACAAGTTAAAAAATAAATGTAATGCAGAATTACTTTTTTTAGAAAATATTAAAATTACTTTTACCCTAATTTTATTGAATTTACTGAAACCAGTAACTCGATACAGAGCTGTCCCATAATTACATAATCACGTTCTTTCCATCTGTTGAATTAATAACTACTGACTAGCTTAACAGGATAATGTTACTGTGGCTAATATGCCTGGTAGCTAACAAATTAAACTAAAGATTATTGTACACTCACCTGGAAAAGGAAAAAAAACAACAAAAAAACAAAACTGCTGCTGCTTGCACTTATTTAAATAAATTATCTGTTAGTGGTGTCTTTTTGGCAGTTGTTTAAGTGTTAAATAGAAATTAAATAGAAATAAAACCTAAAGTGATTAAATTAAGTTGACATGGAGTCAATACTTTCCCCCAGGGTCCTAAGTTCCTCCTGTTTAAATTTAGAGTTTACCAAAAATATACAAGTCACTCTTCCACGGTACACACTTTACTCCTTTGTATCCAATATCCAAATCAGTATCATGCATCGATGCATGCAGACATGGGTAAGTGGGCCTGCTGAAGTTCAGAGCATGTGAATGGAGAAGGAAAGTGATTAAAGTTGGTTACTGGTGCCACTGCCAGATGGGCTGTTCTGAGTATTTCAGAAACTGCTGATCTACTTGGGATTTTTGCAAAAGAAGAGAACTTGGATATTCAAAATAAAAAGAAGATATTCACCAGGAATTTTGCCACATGTTCACGGCTGAATGCATGGTCGTAGCATTCGTGCTCTGACAGCCTCCTCTCACAGAGCAAACACAGAAAATGTGCTTCTGGGGAATTGGGTTCTTTGACATATAAATCATACATCACGATGAACTCGATGCCTGCAATGAAGAGATTAAAAGGAAGAATGAAAACAGCAGTTACAATCTGAGTAAAAATTTATTTCTATAGCACCTTTAGAGATAAACATCCCAAAGGGCTTCAGAACAAAATACCCAAGCACAAAAACAAAACATTAACCAAACCCAAGTCTCAAATTATTTTATTTTTTTAGCCGTTTCTGTTATAGTGCCAGCATGTTTGGGGGAGACAGACGCCATCAGATCCCCTCTTTAGGGCAAACACGTGTGCGGATCACTATGAATATAAGTATGGATGGGAGCGAGGAAATCTTTTGTTGCACTGTAGAATGGGAGATGTCAGCCTGTGTGTGAAATAAATATCTCAGACTTTCTTGGAATTACTCTCTTTATCATCTCCTTCCTCAACTCAACCAGCATCATTACAGTGGGATACAGAATTGGTGATATTCACTCTCTTCTGAGTCATAATAAGAATATTTTAATAGAGACCTTGACAGTCTTATTCTAGTAGTACTTACCAAGTAGAGGAAATGATTCATTTCCTTGGAGTTTGCTATATGTTTGACAAGGTGGAACTGCAGAGGCATAAACAAAAACAACCAAAAATCATTATTTAAAGAAAAAAAGTTTCAATTTAAAAAACAAAAATCAAAACCAACTTATCACTAACCTTCATTCTTCAAGACCTTGTGCTGTTGTTCAAGTCCCTCCAGTACTGCAGTCAAAACAAAATTTTTTAAATCTTGTTTTTTCGTTTTAATCCCCCCCCTAATAGCAATGTTCACTACAGGGTGCATACAGAATTTTATCAAACACGTAAACATTTCTACATGTTCAAGTTTCAGATTCATCTTTTAAAAAAAAAAAAAAAATTTAAAAAAATGTATTAACATTTCCCTCATCAACAAGCACAGAATGTCTGGCAAATATAAAACAAAAATAAAAGTGTGCAGGCACAGCAGCAGGGTACACAAAAGCCCCCACTTGTTTGCTTCTAATAGACCAGCGGTCCCCAACCTTTTGCGCCACGGACCGGTTTGTGCCTGACGGACCGTCCTTTAAGGAGTCGTGGATAAATACAACAAAATAAAACTAGTACCGGTACCGAAAAAAGAAGACTTATTCATAACACACGTGAAAAGACCCAGGAAAACAGAGTTAACGAAATAACGCTAAGAAAACAAACAAAAAAAACGATAAAAACCCTGAAAACCATACATTTCACACCCCAGTCTCAACTCTCGCGGCCCGGTCCCAAATGACTCACGGACCGGCCCGGGGGTTGGGGACCGCTGTAATAGACACACCATGTGCACTATTTTTGATTTTAGAACGGACTGCTCAGCATCTCTGGTCTCTTCCTGTTATTCAATCACTATAGCCAAGTACAGCTTAGCAACTCAGTTAATATAAAAATAAAAATAAAAAAAAAAAAGGGTATTGCTCAAAGTTACCACAGACCAAAAACAGGATGTTAACCATGAATCACTAGCAACAGTGCAATGTGAGCATGTAGTGGTTAGCACAGTCGCCTTATGCACGAAAGGTCACCCCAGGGTGAGACTGAGCAGAGATACAAACAAACCCAGCCTGTGTGGGCCATGAGCGCCAAGCTCAGATAAATGGGAAGGTTGTGTCAGGATGGGTACCCAGCATACCAAATCAAATATGGATCCACCCCACTCCCAGGGAGGAGCTAAAAGCACCTCTTTCTATAAGCATTGAATTGCATACTTATGTAGGAAGGACACTCATACTCCACAACTGTTTGGTGTATTTTGCATGATTTACAAAATTTTAAACCCAATGTGAAATTTACATATTTATTCAGTACTTATTCACTTTATACTTGAGTAAAATTTATCTGGCAGCATCAATCTACCAAATGTGGCACACCTTTGTTCGGTTTGCCTGATTCTCTATGGCAAGTTTTTTTTGCTGAAGCATTTAACTGCTCAGGCCGAGATCCTGAGCAGAAAAGGTTTTCATTAAGAACTGCCAAAGCTATGCACATCTGTAGCAATCCTTGATGCACGTTTCCCACTTTGGCCAAATACTGTTTTTTTTTTTTTGCTTCTCATGCTCTGTGAAATATTCAGGTAGTTTGTGGCAAACTTTGAGTGGGCGCTTTGGCAAAAGTGGTCTTTTACCAAAAAAAAAAAAAAAAAAAGTCTCTTACAGAAATGAACTCTTCCATGCCCACCCCAGTGTACAAATAAACACTCCTGCTTTGTCGCCCCCATTATATTCAGGTCTTATTTGGCACAGTTTTCATCATGTTTTCAGTCATAAAATCTCCTTCTTGAGTCTTAGGTTAAAACACAAGTTTTGTAATCTCCGTATAAGGAGTTGTTTTTCAGAGCAGAGTACTTATTTTTGGTCAAGCCCAAATCATTTTTCCCCCCCAGTTTGACAGATATGGTCTTGCTCAAATCATTTAGCTAACAAAGTTCTTCTTAACACATGGATCACACAACATCAGAATAAGTAATGAATAACTGAAAGAATGTGCAGCAGGCAGTCAGTTTGGCTGGACAGCCATGTCTTAAAAGACTGCTGGTGGTTCCAAACCCTTTTCATTGGTACTACTGCATTCTTCGGCACCTTCAAACCATATAAACGTTACTTTAGTCTTTTATCTCTAACTTGGATCTCGACAACGACGCCGTCTCATTTTTCAAGTCTGAGAACAAATGTTTTGGAAGTTTGGTTTTTACTTCGACATAACTGAGACCTCACATGAATACTTTTGTGCCTTTCCTAATTTAATTCCCACACCATTTTCTTGATGATTTTTCCTTTCACCTACTACACTAGCTAAACACATCCCTATGTACACATACAACTTCATACAGACATGAGCACACAGACACACAGCATAGGCACAGCCCTGAACACACATACTGACGGCCATATAAAGAACTTCCAGCTTTGGGCACGTTTGCATGCTCAATATATGGTTCTGGTTCAGACCCATCTGTGAATAAATAATTAAAAAAATATATATATTTGAAGTCTTTCATTGTCTGGAGATGGATCTGCAAATTTTGATTTTGCACACTAGATGGTCTTCCTGACTGGGATGGACAAACCAAGGATCTTATGTGTTAACCACTACACTACAGGGAGTGCAGAATTATTAGGCAAATGAGTATTTTGTCCACATCATCCTCTTCATGCATGTTGTCTTACTCCAAGCTGTATTTGCTCGAAAGCCTACTACCAATTAAGCATATTAGGTGATGTGCATCTCTGTAATGAGAAGGGGTGTGGTCTACTGACATCAACACCCTAGATCAGGTGTGCATAATTATTAGGCAACGTCCTTTCCTTTGGCAAAATGGGTCAAAAGAAGGACTTGACAGGCTCAGAAAAGTCAAAAATAGTGAGATATCTTGCAGAGGGATGCAGCAGTCTCAAAATTGCAAAGCTTCTGAAGCGTGATCATCGAACAATCAAGCGTTTCATTCAAAATAGTCAACAGGGTCGCAAGAGGCGTGTGGAAAAACCAAGGCGCAAAATAACTGCCCATGAACTGAGAAAAGTCAAGCGTGCAGCTGCCAAGATGCCACTTGCCACCAGTTTGGCCATATTTCAGAGCTGCAACATCACTGGAGTGCCCAAAAGCACAAGGTGTGCAATACTCAGAGACATGGCCAAGGTAAGAAAGGCTGAAAGACGACCACCACTGAACAAGACACACAAGCTGAAACGTCAAGACTGGGCCAAGAAATATCTCACGACTGGTTTTTCTAAGGTTTTATGGACTGATGAAATGAGAGTGAGTCTTGGTGGGCCAGATGGATGGGCCCGTGGCTGGATTGGTAAAGGGCAGAGAGCTCCAGTCCGACTCAGACGCCAGCAAGGTGGAGGTGGAGTACTGGTTTGGGCTGGTATCATAAAGATGAGCTTGTGGGGCCTTTTCGGGTTGAGGATGGAGTCAAGCTCAACTCCCAGTCCTACTGCCAGTTTCTGGAAGACACCTTCTTCAAGCAGTGGTACAGGAAGAAGTCTGCATCCTTCAAGAAAAACATGATTTTCATGCAGGACAATGCTCCATCACACGCGTCCAAGTACTCCACAGCGTGGCTGGCAAGAAAGGGTATAAAAGAAGAAAAACTAATGACATGGCCACCTTGTTCACCTGATCTGAACCCCATTGAGAACCTGTGGTCCATCATCAAATGTGAGATTTACAAGGAGGGAAAACAGTACACCTCTCTGAACAGTGTCTGGGAGGCTGTGGTTGCTGGTGCACGCAATGTTGATGGTGAACAGATCAAAACACTGACAGAATCCATGGATGGCAGGCTTTTGAGTGTCCTTGCAAAGAAAGGTGGCTATATTGGTCGCTGATTTGTTTTGGTTTTGTTTTTGAATGTCAGAAATGTATATTTGTGAATGTGGAGATGTTATATTGGTTTCACTGGTAAAAATAAATCATTGAAATGGGTAAATATTTGTTTTTTGTTAACTAAGTTGCCTAATAATTATGCACAGTAATAGTCACCTGCACACACAGATATCCCCCTAAAATAGCTAAAACTAAAAACTACTTCCACAAACATTCAGCTTTGATATTAATGAGTTTTTTGGGCTCATTGAGAACATGGTTGTTGTTCAATAATAAAATTATTCCTCAAAAATACAACTTGCCTAATAATTCTGCACTCCCTGTATGGAGCCACTGCCTCCTTTCTGACCCCCTCCTCCCCCCAAAAAAGGTCATTTAATATAGTTCTGTTAACATGCTCATTCCTGAACAGATCATTTTTCTTTGTTTTAATCAAAGAACCTGAAAAAAAACAAAAACCAACCTGGTTTAAATAATCAACAGAACACAAAACTGCACAATGGTCATAGTGTTGCTCTGAGGTTCAGTATTGTTTGTGTGAATAGAACCTTTTTCTACTTTATTACAATGCCTTGCATTAAACTAAAGCTGTCTGTATATATATAAAAAAATATATAGTTATAGTTCTTACCTTTTCCAAAAGTAGGAGGGCTGAGCCTGTAAAATACTGACCATGGCATATCAAGAACCTGGGAAACAAAGATTACATTGTAATATAATATATTTTAAAAACAAACAAACAAAAACAGAAAAATTTAATGATAGAGTCAGCAGGAAATGATTCCCCTTACATTAACGGGTGTTTTTAAAAATTTGGGATTTTCCTGCTTTAATTTTGAAACATATCTTCTGTTAGGTTTTGTATTGTTGATTGTCATTTATGCTTAGAAATATCTACTTATATATGCTTAGAGTTTTATAATTAGTTGTAGATTGGTAGAGGTTTGATCCTTGATAGTCTGCAAAGACTTTGTGTGCATTAGAGAGCACTCTGGGAGCATGGGAGAGGTCGTACCTTCTCTTATTGTTTTATGGTAGAATAAACGTGGCTATATCTGTTTTAGGCTAAGTGCCTTTTGTTTAGATGAACTGCTGGACTTCCAGACCAGCAGGTTTTAGGGAAGTCATTTATGGGGTCACACTCTGACCCCCCCCAACACACACAGGCAAGGTACTCTTTGTGTGTGTGTGTACACGTCGTATGTTAATGAACCTATGCATATTCATGTAACCTCAATAAAAGAGCAGTGTTACGGGGAGAGCGGACGAGAGCAACTGGGGTCAAGCAAAGGAACGGCGTTTGTCCGGTTCTCTCCCGTGCACGAGAAACATGAAGAACTTTGCCTACTTCGTGTCTTGCTTTGCTGTGTAATTATATTGTCTTCAACGTTCCAACGAATAGGTTCAAGCTACAAACCTATCATCTTCATTCACATAAAGTGAATGTTAGTTCAGTTTTAATTTCTGGATTTATAAAAAGAGCTGAGCCCCCTTGGTTCATTAATTTGCATTTTACCTTCAGAACCACCTCCTTTGGTCTTGCCTCAATCTCTTCCTCCCACGCCTTTGCCTTTAGTGTTTGATCATCCTGCAGATTCTCCCAGCCGAAAGGCAGCCGCCAGGGATTCTCAAACAGCTAAGAGTAGAAGACAAGAGTCGCTCATTACAAACTGTATGTTTCATCAGAGCCCGTCTATGTAATATAGAGTACTGTGCGATCAGGGGCGTGAGCTGCCCCTAATTTCTTGATTTTGTAAGGAAAGCTATGAACTAAATGTAGGAATTAATGTGATACTTGTGATATCAGTACACTGGAGCAACAGCCCAAATAAAAATATAATTTCAGCTACATCACTGTCGCTTATACTAATCAATGCAGTAAATAATAACTTAAAACCTCACCAGTGTGTGCACAACATGTTTTCGGGAGTTTAAGTGTGGCTCAATCAAGGACTGACAGACACACTCCTGACAAGCAAAGCATATGTAAAAAGGCTCTGCATCAACTTCTGTGGTAATGCAGGACACAATCAAGGTTGTACCTAAAAGAAAAACAGAAACCAAAAAACAAAATTATATCAAACATTTTTCAAATCTACCGTATGAAAACACAGCGAGCAAACTTACCAATGGCTGGCTGTTTTTTCTTGAAGCACTCCATGACATACAAGTGTAAGTGAAGGAAAAAGTGAGCTGTGATAAAGAGAATGAATTGAGCAACAGCAGAAGGCCATCTGTGACTTTTCTAAAATACAACTATACAAATATGTGAAAATAATGAGTTCCGTGATAGCAAATCAAATACGTATGTGTACCTTTTTTCTCATAGCCTTCAATTCCTTCTGTTGTAAGAAGAAAAGAAAAAAGTTAAGATCTAATTTGAACTCTTATTACACAAAACATGAAAAAGAAAAGTACCTTCAAAGAGTTTCCACAACATCTGGAGAAGATCAAAACAGAGTTTTTACTACACGTTTAATTAGCAAATCTCAAAAAAAAAAAAAAAAAAAAAAAACCACTAAGAAAATCAAAACAGTCACTGTACCTCCCTGTGTCTTGGATTTGACAGATGATTGAGATATTGAGATATGTTTTTCAACATCAGACCGCAGTCCTGTTGCAAAGAGACAGATGTGAAACAAGACTGTCCAGACAGTCGGTGCATTGGAAATTTAATTTTTTTATTAAAAAAAAAAAAAAAAAAGCAGCCAGCGGTACAGCAGCAACATAAAGGCTATTAAGGACAAATTATCACCTGACACAGCAGTTTACATCTTGGGTAGTATGCGCGCAGCTCTGAAGGTTCGCTTGCAGGGGCCGACTCATTTTTGACAGCATGATACTCTGAAAAGAGAAAGTATTGTAATGACATTAAAACCTTCAAAACAGTTTTTTTAAAGGACATAAAAACATGGATTTTCTGTCAACTGATTTCTTTAATGAACTTGTTTTGGTGAATTTTTGGCAGGTCCTAAATTTTGTCTTCTTTAGACAGTGTGTCAGTTTATTATACTAACTTATTATGCTGCCATTTTACACACGTGTCCACCTTAGTGTGTGTCTGTGGCCCACATTTAGGTGAAGCGGTGTGGCAGCTCGATTGGTGCCGATATAGTCTCGGTGAGCCAACTGTGTGGTTTATGTTCTTAACTATAACCAGTTTTCACTTAATTAGAAGTACAGATGCACTGCATAGACCAGAGTATTGGGACAGACCTGTCATCAAATTCAGGTGTTTTCAGTTGCATTGCCACAGCTGTATCAGATCAACTGATTAGCCATGCAATCAAACATATGAACACTTGTGAACGAACAGGGCGCTTTCTGGAGCTCACTGGATTTGAACGTGGTACTGGAATAAGAGGAACTTGTTACAGCTGGTATGCTTGGGAAAAGTCTTCCCTGCTAGATATTCAGCTGTAAATTGTGTTGTTGCAAAGTGACAGCATTCAGCATTATTGGTAAAAAATGCTTTTCTGTCACAGATTTGCTCTCATTTTCCTACTGATACAGAGTATACAGCATTCAGATAGAATATATAGAGTAAAATTACAAATAGTCATATTGGCTACAGGTAGCTGAAAACTCTACACATGTACAGTAACAAAATATACTTTTACTTCAATTTGAACATCTCCAAGTTTGACATAGCTGTGCTGAACACAGCAGTTACTCAAGTCTGATAGCATAAGACTCCCTGATACATTACCCAGCTTCTCCCCTGGTTTGATGGCTGGTTTCAAGCTGCACTTCTTGATATATTCCAGGGTCGTCAAAGCTACAAGATCAATTGGCACAACATTACTCTACACTGCACTAAAAAGCCAGTTTGTGCAGATGAATAAATCCTAAACCAAGGTTTAAAATTAGACACCCACCTTCTGTGTAGCTTTTAAAGTTTACGGACTTGAATTCAGCGGGCTCCAGGCTCACTTGCTACAGCAACAAAATAAATAAAATTGTATTTTCACATTAAGAAAAATTAACGCCTCCAATCATCTTAAAAGCCTGAATAGAAACCTCACATATACATACTTTCAAATCATTTTTTCCATGAATCTTCTCCGCCTGCTTTGCCAAGTCAAGCATCATGGATTCAAAGGAGGGATTGTACAGCGAGTAGCACTCTTTTGACAACAATGTAGAGGGATGCCACACTTTCTGCAAAGACATTCAAAGTAATTTACATATTACTCCCCACCTTTCTACAATGAAGGCCAAACCTGGCTGTTCTTACATATCGTTACAGAGTCGCAGGAATGACAGAGCACCACAGGTACATTCATATGGGGGAAGAAAAAAAAAAAGTACACTCAATCGAAATGGAAATAACTTTCCCATTTTATCTGCACAAGAAAATAATGGCTGTTCTGTGAAAATCACATTAACCTAGATACAGTAATTCAAGCAAGTTAGCGCGATAGATATTAAAATGACCACACACACACACACACACACACACACACACACACACACACACACACACACACACACACAGGTCATGAGCATGAGCCCAGCACAGAGCTGATATACTCAAACTGTCAAACAATAAATAACCAAACCGGCATGTCCTTGGACAGTGCACGCAGGCACAGAAAAAAGGAAACTCCCTACCACCCAGCCAACCAGAGATTCAAACCAATGAACTTTGTTACGCAGCACTCACTTCCCCACCACTCTGTCTTGTAAATCTTTCTACTGACAGTGAAGTCATTCAGATTGGCCTGAGGCTTTTAACCCACTTTTCATCAACTGGCTGCCACAAGAGCAGATCAACCGATACAAAACCTCCAAATTTCATTGCTAAAAGCAACTCACAGTCCTTGTATCTACATCAGAAAGAGACGACTGCACATTTGATTTGTAAAGGAAGTATGCTGGGAAAAGCCTTCGTTTTAAAAAGCAAGTACACTTTAAGTATAAACTATAGTTTACCAGTGAACGCAGGCAAACAGACAAATCAAAGACAGAGTTGGTTACCCATCATAGTAACAGTAAGTCGTTTAAAGCAGAGGAACCTCGTGAACTATAAAACTGAAAACGTGGTAAAAATACAATGGACTGCCTCTGCCTCAGGGCTGGGCATGTGGCAGATGTAAACGCTCTAAGAAGTGTCTCAAAGATAAGAAACTGTTGTGGAACGGTCTGGTGAGTCGAGTGCAGCTGGGCTGAGAGGCAGAGCTGGAAGGCAAAGACGAATCCTCTGGACACAGGACAGGCAAATGCTTGAAATCTGCCTGAAGATGCGCCTCTAAACGGAGGTCACGGACCATATCACCCTCTGGAGCCAGAAGGCGGCTGGCCATGTGAGACGACACCTGCCATCAGTTTTGCTCCAATGATGCTGAGGACAGGTGAAAGTTGGAAGGGACACAAAGGAAGGGAGGATTTAGGAAGAGAGAGAGTTGAGATCCAAAGGGACAGAATCTTTTTGGAAGGTTTGATGCAAATAGTAGTGGAAGCATTCCCCATATAGGGGATTCCTGGGAATTATGAAGGGAAGCTGAAAGATTCTTTGCAAGCTCATAAAAAGGAAGCTAGCAGGCTGGAACCAACAAACTGGAGGCTCGGGGCTTGACTGGAAAGGAGACCATCGTTGGCTTCAAAAGTCACTGGAATATTCCAAAACGAGCACAAAAGGCACCCATCTGTCACATGCGGGTATTCTAAAAACCTGAGCTTAGAAAAAATTACCAATACAGTGGGCTTCAGTTTGCGTTGAATCTCTTCAGGGATGTTAATGCTGGAGAAGAGACTTCTCCTTGAAGACAGCACCTTCTCGGCTCTCTGCAGGAGCAATCCACGGTCCGCTGTATCCATTGTTTGCCAAATTGTTCTGTGACCAGCTCAGTTCAAACAGACGATCCACATGCAATTCCAAAAGGAACTTAACAAAAAGCGAGCTTCTCTTTCAGAAAGCTGATACAAAAACCACTTGGTCAAGTAAAACATAGCAAGAGAGCCAAAAGGGAAAACAAAACACAACAGGTGAAAACAAGTAATCCCCAAAGAAAACCAACACCAAACAGGAACACACAAGGAAAAAAAATCTGAACCAGGAATGGCTGGAAAGTTTGAGTACTGAATCATACACAAACAATCTAGCAAATGAGATGGGCAAATCAAGAAACTTATACACAGGGGGGGCTGATTGGATAATCAACCACATGTGTGAAAGATACAAAAGCAGGAGTAACCATATGTAGACACAAAGGGTAAGGAATTTACAAAATAAAACAGGAAGTCGTTTGAAGTGATGTCACAGAGGGACACAGAGTGACTTTGGTGGGTGGAGGGAGTGAACCAAACATAAATCAAATCTGAAATCAAAGCCTAGATTTCAATCTCAAGCAAACTGGTGCCAAAGTGGTTGACACTACCGCGAAGCAGTCGCAAGAAGATCTTTCTGATGAAAAGGGTATTATTGACTTCTGAGGTGGAAAAAGTGTGCTTAATTTCTTTTATTAATAAATTTATATCTATTGATCATTTTGCTGACTGACTGAAAGAGTCTAGCAGTGATGTTCAAGCGTACCACAATTAGGTCCAGGAGCTGAATCAAAGAATCGTATTTGCTTGACGTAAAATTGTAAATAAATAAATAAATACTGTCATCACCCACCCCACAGATGGATCTTTGTTTTTCCAGTGGTATCACAAATTCAATTTCTTGATGCATGCTCAATCATCCAGGTAAGTAAATCACCAAAGGTTGATTCTGTTCATCTGGACGTAGCGTTTTCAGAGGAAGAAACGTTTCGTCACTTATCCAAGTGACTTCTTCAGTCTCAGCTGACTGCAGGTTTCCCCAATCTTATAAACAGTACATTTGCACAATGACTGAAGCCAGCCCACTGAAGGAACAATGGGCTGGGAGGTCAGTTTTTTCATCAATAATTATGCAAATTCTCACAACCATTGATCAACAACCACTGATCAAAGCCCACTGATCAATGGCCATGAGTACCATTCACAAACCAAGTGTGTTTCCTTTTAGAACGGTCTTAATTCCACCTACTTCACATACAAGTGTCAGTTCTACAGGCAGAAACAGGTATGTGGATGACACCTGGGTGAAAATCAAATCTCAGGACGTACCACATTTCACGGATCACATTAACTCGGTGGATCGACACATCAAATTCACCAGGGAGGATATGAAAAGTGGCAGGTTAGCCTTCTTAGGCTGTGAGATTTCCATCAGTAATGGGGGACCTCTAAAAGCTGATGTGTACCGTAAACCTACACATACAGATCAGCATTTAAGGTTTGACACTCATCATCCACTGGAACATAAACTGGGTGTCATTAGGATGTTACAACATAGAGCGAACACCATCCCCACAGACACAGTGGCCAGGGAAGAAGAGGAACCTCACACCAAGAAGGCCCTGAGTAAATGTGGTTATCCCAGCTAGACTTTTGTCAAAGCTGGGAAGGCGCCAAAAGAAAGCTCCAGCCAATCCATGAGAGAAGGACAACCGCTGCCAAAGCGAAAACCTGTAGTGATCCCTTATGTTAAGTCTAATTGTTGAATGTGTCATTGTGTTTCTTAAATTTGTAAAGTTATAGTTCAATCTATAGGATCAAGACATTCCTTTGTCTCTGACCACCTCTCCAGCCACTCCATGCTGGGGGAGGCTTTATCACAAGCACATCCCTTGTGAAGATTCTGTTTGATGTTAATTCCTGCTTTTATGATCCTTTTGGTGAGCAGGAAGTCACGCACACAGAGACACACGCACACACACAGTACCTTGTCTTTGTAACCAAGGGGGGGTGCTTTTGCTGTGATGTGTATTGTAACAGTTGTCAATAAAAAGGCGACGAGGACAGCTGCTCTTTGAAGGATTTGGGCTAGAGATAGGTGAGGAGTGTGAGCTCAGTGTGAGTTAGTCTTGTAGTTTAATTTGAAGATGAAGAGTTTGAAAGTCTGCATGATGACGCATCCACTCATATCTCAAATCTTAACTTCCCATTACATCAGCCCGACTACTTCAAATCATCTGATTGCCTTCTAAACAACTCAGCTGAACTCTCAAACTGTACAATTTGAAATCCTCTAAGTTACAACTCATCTCAAGCAATTAACTTAATTAATATGGTCTTTGATGCCACTGCTACTTACAAAATACCAAAAGATGTGGTCAAAGCTCAGGACGTGTTTGATGATCACGTGGGCGCCGACTGTTAGGCCGCAGAGCGTGCAGAGGTAATGCTTCTTCTCATCTGCTCCGACACAAACGCACTCGACGAGGTGCTGCATGCCTGTAAGATCACGATGACACAGATAGTTTAGAGGAGAGGGAACCAGTTTGTCAAACTCTGCCTCGCTGGTATGTCAAGGACGAAAAAAGAGATTGTTAATCATGCTGTTGAAGTGCTCCAAAAAAAAAAAAAAAGAGCATTCTTTTACTTGAGCAAATGAATGAATGAGTTTATTTGAAAACAAATATGGCTTTGTTATTTTGGTGGTTGTTACTGACCAAGAAGCGGATGTTTCCTGTTGCTGTCTTTCTGGTAAGCCAGGATCGTCATCTTCCCTGGCTTGAAAGCTAAGAGGGAAAATGATTAGATTCAAGTGATTAAACACTGACTGAAAGACAGTAATAAAGAGTAAATGTGAACAGATATATATTTGGTAAATAAAGGTGCCACAACAAGATAAATGACAAAGCTTTGAGTCATAATATGAAAACAAACCACGTAATGTGGCTTAAACATGATATGTGCGATACCATGAAGAGTGTCAGACTAGCCACAAAACAGACTTTGTGGTGAAGATGATTTCTATTGAGAAAAACCACCTCTGAAAACAGCAGATGGCAGCAGTTGTGATTCTAATTAATCAGATGTTAAAACACTGAATTCACAACTTGATTGATCAGTGAGAAAAAAAAAAAAAAAGTGCACAAACCTTGAATCAGCTTGAGAAGCTTCTCATTTTCACCTAGAGTGAGCATCACTGCAAAGAAGATTCAGATCATTTTCAGCAGTGCAAAACTAAATAAAACTGTCACACAAACACTACATGGATCGATCTTATACCTTCTGAGTAGGTGCTGCTTTTAAGCTTTTCCATAAGACGATCAGGTAAATGCAGCATCTGCAGAGAGAAAATGCAGAATATAACTGTAGAACTGAACAGTAGCTATAAAAAATAAAAACACTTTTGTGATCAGCCTGCATTTCTTAAGATATTTTCGTATACCAGATAAAAACAGAGTGATCCACCTGATAGACAAACAAACCAATTTCCCTAATTTTTTTTTTTTTTTTTTACTAGAAATCAAAAGGGTTATGTGCTGGATATACAGCAACTGACACTTTATTAGGCATATCTTGTTAGTATCAACTTGCCCCCTGCCACTGCAAATCTCTTGGACAAGTCTGTATAAACCCTAGAGGCAGTCATGTGGGAAAATCCCAGCAGATCAGCAGCTTTAAAACACCTGAACTAGCCAGTCTGGCACCAGCAACCACACCATATGTTCTGTCTACATGCATAAATGAACCGAGTTACTGCCATGTGATTGGCTGAAGAAATACTCCTTCATCTCTTTGCTCTTGAATGCTTTGCTTCTTATATTGATTTTTATGCTGATTTTTTCCCTTTTTTCCGTGTGAGCTTACCTGCGATAACTTCTGGACACTTGTAGATCATTAGGACTAGAGTGTTCTTAACAGAAACAGCAACATTTTATGGTTACCTTATCCTCAGCGCTCCGTATGTCTGTGGCCTAGACACAGCTGAAGCCTGATTACAGCGTCTGGGCACCGAGCAGCCTCAATAGCCTGGAAAGGTGCTAACCGCTAGGCTAACTAGCAACAAGATGCCTTCCCTCTCCACAGATGACTACCACAGCCTCCTGCAGAAGATTGCAGTACTGGAGACAAAAATTCATCGCTTAGAAGTAAACGTGGAGGTAAATGGACTGTGTGGAAATGAAACAACCTTGCCTTTGATTCAAAACAATGGCGATGAGCAAGCTAGTACACAGCTAAGGAGCACAGATAACATGACCAAGAAAGTAGACTCTGTGCATTATTATAAATCCTCAAGTGATAATCCCCCCTTAGACTGTCTTGGTGCAAAACCAAGACATAAATCATGTCTCCTGGAAGGGGGAGGACGTATCACAGGCAGGGCACAGCGAGCTGAAATCTCTGAAACCGACTGGCCTTCACTTCCTACGAGACAGAGAAGCTCTTCTACCCCTGTATACAGGAGGAAACAGGACTGGACAACCGTGAATAGGAAGGTTAACAACAAACCTCCAAAACAACTGAATGTGAAACTGCAGAACAGATTTGCTCCACTATCAAAGGACCCTGGATCTATATCGGACAACCATCCATCTAAAAGCAGCGAAATAAGGTCTGAAAATCTGTTGAAAAGTGAAAGGCCACAGGGAAAGCTAAAGGCTAGGCCTGAAACTCTGATTGTGGGTGACTCTGCTGTAAAGGATGTACAAAGGATGTGCGGTAAGAACACTAAAGTCCTCTGCTTTCCTAACGATATGGTCAACAACCTGAAGGAGAGAATTCTTCAAATTGCAGATGAATATCCAACTGTGACAAACATTGTTCTGCATACAGGGTCAAACGATGTGTCCAAACAACAGTCGGAGGTTCTGAAATGGGACTTTACTGGATTATTAAATACTGTAAACTCTCTGAATGCAGCTGTATTCATCAGTGGACCTGTACCGCCGGTCAGAGGAGGAGACGAGAGATTCAGCAGGTTGTTTACACTGAATAAATGGCTTATATCAGCATGTGCTGACCACTCAGTGCATTTTATCGACAACTTTAATATTTTTTGGGAACGCAGGCATCTGTTCAAAGCAAATGGATTTAATTTTAACAAGTCAGGGGTGAAACTGTTCACCTCCAACTTGTTTTATTCCATACGTCATCCATCTGTGCTTGGTGCCAAGGCTGAGATAAACGAGGAGTTATCTCATAAAGAGGAACAAACAGTACTCTAAGAACAGACAAAGCCCAGCAGAAACCTTGAGGAGGAGCTCCATTTGCCCCCACCCGGGAAGAGCCTCAGAAAGGAGAGACATCCATGGCATCTGAGGAAGAGCCTCAGAAAGGAGAGACATCTAAGGCAAGAAGAGGGGTCCCTATTTGCCTCCAACTCTCTCAACAACACCAACGACCAGGACAGGGGACCACGACCTTCCCCAGTCCCCCAAACCCCTGACAGGCCATCACCCTCCTCCCCTCCCTTTCTCCCTCCTCCCCACACCTGAAATTCACTGAGGAGATGATGGAGCGGGTCAATGCTGGGCTCAGATCTACCCCCCGTCCCAATCCCTTTTTGTCCCCCATAAACCCCCCACCAGAGCGGCCAAAGGTTCGCCATCGAGCCCCACCCTCAACAGAGCAATCGAAGTCACATTGCCCAGCCTCGCCCCCCTTAGTTCCTCTTCATGCCCTGTCTCCGCAGTCTGATATGTGATATGTGAAGGGTCCGGGCTGTGAGGATTATGGCAGTGATGACTTTTCCCAGGAGAAGCTGGGACCCTGTTTACTAGAAGGTTTTAAAATTTCTGTACTTTTAGGTGACAGGAGACATGTGGCCTGGTCAAAACACAGAGAGCTGCACTCTAAAAGATCTTTAAACATAGTAAACATACCTTGTGTGCCACAGACTGCTCCCAAACACGAGGGGACAAGTAATACCTCTAA